CATTGAGGTTCAAATTCTGTTTGTGTATTTTTTCCAAACCAAATTAATCTAGCTTTTGAAACAAAATGGTGTATTAGAAATGGTGTCTTTAAAAACAAAGCTAGTTTGGGGTGAACTGAGTGGCAAAACCAGTGTTTCAACAGTTTTCTAACATTTCTCCCTGAAATGTATTAGAAATGGAGGGTGCTCCTGAAAACAATAGCCATAAAGTTGGTGGGGGGGGGGGGTTGGGTTTTTTGTGGTTTTTTTTGTTTGTTTGTTTGTGTGTTTGTTTTGGTTTTTTTTTTTTTCAACCTATAGCAGTGCCTGATCCTGCTGTGCTGTACCAGAGGGGGTGAACATATCTGGTCCCCTAAATCTGACCTGCCTGACCCCTGGAGACACTTCTACTTCTTACCTGTTTTTCTTGAACTTCCAATGTAAACAAACCTTTTCTGTGTTTTGGGTGAGAAAGCTGATTCCCCATCTCTGCTCATCATTTTTACGAGTCATTTGCTGCTCTTCTGCCTGGAAATGGCCACGCTTTAGTATTGCTGGACATATAGAGTTTGCAGAGCATTTTAGAATGAGCATTTCTTACCCTCTATATTACAATAAAATCACTAGGCAATGAAATACGCTAAATTCTCACCTGAATAAGTATGGTTCAGTTAAAAATATATACTCACCTACCACCTCCCCATATGAAGATGGAGAACTATAAAAAGTAGACAGGCTTGTATGGAGGGTTCTGCTAATGTTAACACATTTTTCAGTGTTCAGAGAAATTTGATTCATTTAAAAAAGCCTGGTGTGAATTCACCTGGCAGCATTTCCATTTTTTTCTTTTTTTTTTTTTTTCCAAGATCATTTCTGAAAGATGAAAAATTCCTTTGTGTGAAATGGGGTTTGTTTTACATTCAGCAACCTCAGGTCGAGGCCAAAAAAACGGCTTGTCAGGGGACCGGCACGTGGCCAGAGGCAGTGCGGCTGTGCCGGGCAGCGAGCGCGGCATCCACCCCTCCTGGCTCACCGCGATTTCTCAAAACGCAAGAGAGGACGCGGGTCGGGAGAGACAAATCATAATGGGCCAAGCGCTGCGCTGGCCACGCTTCTGGGGCTAAAATGAATCGCATGGCCTGAGCGTTCCACTTTGTGTAAAAAAAATATTAAGGTGGTTTGGTTTAAAGCGCCCAGAGTACGTGCACACGAATTTTCCCTGGAGCGGCAGCATCTTCTGCGGGGATGTCTGCACCCAGGAGAAGAGCTGCTGTCTGGTGGCCGCTGCCCCACGCAGGTGATGCTGATGGATAAATGCTGCTTTCCTCCTTCCTGCTGCCTCCTAATTTAGTAGCTGTTGTAGTCTCTGAGGTAGGTGCTGTGCTTTACTCCAGTAATGATCAGTGATGTTCTCTGAGATGACCATCACTGAGCCTGGCTGGAGCACGGCTGGGGCTGCTGCTGGTTACGTCTGTGTGACTGATTCTGCACTTTGCTGATGGCTGAGAAAAATGGAAGAAAGGGAACGTTTTTCTGGTCTGCCGCAAAAAAAGAAAATGTTCAAAATATTCGGTGAACCGAGCAAATGCTGATAGTTTTGTTTCACATCAGAGGAACCATTATATTTATTTTTCAGGCTTTCCTAATAAAAAACCTACCCCCACCCTGGATTTTAAAAGGCAACATCAATTCAAACTGAAAAATGGAAACATCTTGTTTTCAAAACACTGACACAAAGTAATTGATGTTTACCCCTGCTTTTCACTCTTTCCTGCACAACAAAAACAATTTGGCAAATTTGTATCCAGTGGTGAGATGTTTGGGTACACCACAAACCTGCATGGTTTCTTTCTGCAAAATCGAGTGCTGGGAAGTGACAAGTGTTCAGTGGAGCAGAAAAGTGAGGTTTTTTTCCCAAATTTTTGATAGATGATGAGCACTACAGCAGCTAATGGGGAGCTGATGCTACCATGCTCAGACATTAAGTCTATGAAAAAAACTGTATTGCTGCAAAGATACTGGTTCAATCCACTTGAATGGCTGCAGCTATTTTAATAAGGGCATGACTGTATGAGAAGGGAAATTAGCTGGCCAATTTTTAGGGTGGTATTACCTTGAAATTGCCTTTCCCTTTAGAGGTTATACTAGGACAGTTGTATTGCTGTAAGGTCACAGCCCTCATAGTCAAACAAGTGCAGGAATCTGCTTGGGCCAGGTTTCACCAGCCTGTTCTTTCTCAGCAGCTTCTTCCATTGACCTCTTCTGTGGCTGGTGATGAGGACGGAGTTGAGGAGATGAAGCCAGCAGCATCCCCAGCCTTGCCTTGGGACTTTGGGACTTCTTTCCCTTTTAGTCCCTCAGGTTTGAAATCACTGCATCTTCTCAAGATGGGCAGGCTCTTGTGTTTCCTGAGCCCTCTCTCCTTTCTGTATTCACCTCAAACTCACGCTGGAGTTGGGTACGCTTGCACTCTAGGTACATTTTGTGAGATAAAGTGGTGTCTCCTCAGTTAGAAAAGCTAAACCAAAATAAGCTCTCCGTTGTCCTAGCTGGTGACATTTAGTAAGTCTGCTGCAAGGTGCCAAGTTTCAGAGTATTACGGCAGGGATGTTCACACTTCAGCTTCAGATTTAGATGTTCCAGAATAGAAATAAGACCTGACATAAATAATCTAATTAAGAAAATCACAACTATTAAAAGGCCATGTGAATTTGGCACCTGGAATACTTACGCATGTTTTAAATCCCACAGGGGTGCCTCTCATAAGCTCATAATGCCTGTGAATACTGCACCGCCATTTTCATATTGCATTTTCCCATGCCAGAGTTTTGCAGCACTTGTCATTCCCCGCTGTCCCAAATGCCCAGCTGGGACATCAAGAGGTGAAATGTTTGTGCTGGGAAGAGTCAGGACCAGTCTCAGAAACAGTGTAGATTTACTTGATCGCTGAATTTCACTACCATGTATTTCTCATTCATTTGAGCTGCCTACAGCCACGTCAATTCCTTTTGCAGGGAATAAACATGGTATCGGAATGGAGGTAGAGAAAGAAATAGCTAACATCCCCACTGAAACGCAACCTCTGTTTGGGGCAGCGGGAGTTGTCAAAAATTGTTTGCAATGTTAACGCTTCAGTAGGGGGTTAACTGTGCTAGCGATCAGGCTGATAATTCCCTTTAAAATTATTGTTTTACCTCACTCCATCCAATTACTCAAGTTGTTTTGCTATCCCACAGATCTCTCAGTTAATGTCAACAAAATGATTATAGACTGCAACAGCGTCAAGATGTTTCACCCACAGGAGCGCTGGTGAAATGTTTATGGCGCAACGTGTTGAAAGCAGCATTTGATGTGTAAATGTCAGGAACAATCAGCTTTCCTGTCACCAGAACCAAAATACACAAATACAGGCACCAAAAATGTCACATGCACGACCAAAGAGCTACTTTATCACAGGCCATGTAAATTGTCGTGTAAATGGCCAACAGCAGTGTTGGAAATGGTGTGAAAAAGCCACCACAGCCCTTTGCTGGCGAAGCTGTGCACTATTTCTGACTTGTGAATCGCGATCGACAGCGTGGTCCTTCCTTCGGCATCGATGAGTGAGCTGATGGTGGGGAGAGATGGACGAGGGACAACGGAGGATGGCGACACCAAACACAGATCAAACCTCTCTGCTTGAGGGGAAATCAACTTTATAAAGGATGAAGATACACCCTGGGACCCACCTGGACTATCTAGAAGTGGGTCAGGATGCCTCCTTGGCTGTGTGGCTCCTGGGGCCTCACCTAGATCCCTCCCTTTTCGGCAAAACCTGCAGAATAAGGTTTTGTAACAATGATGACCATCTGCAGCCCGGACCCCCTCGTGTCATGGGGACCAGGCAACGAATCCCGGTGTCCCCGCGTGGTGGTACCACCGAAGATACGACAGTCCCGTGCCTGTGCAGTGGAGCAGTGGGGTTCTGCGGCAGCGGGGCCGGGGTCCCCCATCTCCATCCCCCCATCCACGCTGGCACCGGGGGTAAGTCACGTTTTCTGCTGCCGGTCAGGTGGTTGAATAAAAGTTGTTGGCAGTCCACTAAAGACTTTGCGACTCCAGTCCCACTGATGCCGAGGGTGCCCAGATCCACTGACAGTGGTTTCTGCGAATCCCCCAGATTGATTAAACCCACATTTTTGCAAATAAACCTTTATGAATTTTCTGTTGCATCAGCATTCCTCATTGCTTGGTAATAGAAGCTACAAAGAAAAGTCTGATGAAACAAGTCAGATCTGAAGGCAGAAGATATTGAAATCCGAAAGATTTAATTTAATATTTTATTACATATTTTTGGAGCCCCATTATACCCCCACCCTCCAAGAATTTATTTACCTAAAGAAAATTATACTACTGATTACAAGATTGCAGGTTCATTTTCACTGCTGAGAACTCATTTCTTTTACAGCTCACATTACACTTGCATGACTTGTAAAGTTTTGTAATACCTTGAAATTTTTAATGTTACATTGTGGAAAGGTACTTATATATAGATGAACTAGGCAGAATACTTGCTTTGCAGTCTTTTTGAGGGGGGGAAAAAGTTAGTTTCTTGGTTTGAATAGGCCTGTAAATGGTTTCTTTGAGCTATCGGATAGTGAGTTCACAGGGTGCTCACAGGAGCTGCCTTGCGTTTGTCCTTCAGGCTGAGTGCAAAGGGAGAAACTGCGAGAGGTGTTTTTAAAACGTAACATAAGAAGGAATGCTTTCTATAGGAGAATAGAAATAAATTATGCAGAAATCGTGACTATAGTGTGCATGAAATTATACTGGCAAGGTTCCCCATGGTAAATATTTGACAGACAATTTCTTAGTCAGAATCTCAGTTTTTCCAACAAATCATTGCACTTGGGCCTTTTAAATCATAATTCACGTCAGCCAGCACTGCATACTGAGTTAAGGTCAGAAGAGATTTCCAGATGTGTTGTGATGATTATCTAACTATTCAGTTAACAGAGCCATAGTATTGGATGAGATTTTTGTCAATTCTGATGTCACAGCAACAGAGACCTTTGACTGAAACAACATCATGAATATTGGATAAGATCCTGCAGTGCTGCTCCTCCATGTTATGTTATTATCCAAGGATGAAGGTTATAAATACATGAGTGATACTGTACACTTTCCAGTTGGTAAAAACAAAGAACCCTCCCCCCATAATCAAGTTTCAATACACAACTAGATATAATATAGCTTTTTCTTTATATATATATCTGTATATATATCAAGTAAAAAAATCTAAAATAGTTGGAAGTAAAAAATGAAAAAATAGCTGATTGTGTTATTTTTTCTTTACAGTGATATGGTAGCAAATACAAGACAAATGAGTAATAAACCTTTACATAAGGTGTTCTGGTCCCATCTCCATCAACAGGGCTCAGACTAGAATAGAAAATGGAACAAGGTGATTTTTGTTTTTTTGGCTACAGCTTCTGCAAGTGACAAAGACGATGTTGATAAGACAGAAGGAAATTATAGCACTAAATAAAACTCCAAAGTGTTTTCCAAAAGACCTTAAACACCATAGGGTAAAATTTACTTCTGAACTGGGGGAGCAAACACAAAGCATCACCAAGTCCTGGAAATACTGTCTGCTTATCCTGGCCTCAAAACATGACCCTTTTGTGCCATCTTACCATAAAAAAACCCCTATCAATGCTTTCTCTCCCCCCCCCCCCCCCAATACAAAAAACACAAAGCCACAAATCCATTGAATGGACCGAGCCAGACATGAGACCTCAGTGACGCGCAAGTGGTTGGCTGCCCAATGTCCAGCGGTGAATTTCCCCCAGAATCCTTTACACTGAAAGTGTCAATTGATTAAGCTTGGCAAATGGTCGCACTGAGCCCTATGTTGGCCATACAAAAGAAAGAAGTACTAGTCTCAGCATAAAACAAGATCATATAGACAGTCAACACAAAACAGCATTTTTTCCAGTTGTCTGCATAATAATAACATCATGTTTGCATATAGAACAGCTTTTGCATTATTGCTCTACTTATAAGAATATAGTAAGGAACTTATAACAGACTTGCACATTACAAACTTAAGGTTCTTTGGTGAAGAATGAGAAAACAGTATTTTCGCTGTAATTAAATCTCAGAGAAGTTTTTGTTTTTATCTGTTGATCCTTTGGATTCTCTCACAGAGGAGGGAAAGGTATTGAGTCAGCTTTACCATCGCGACGATGGCGACCCCGCCGATCATCATGCAGGTGGGCCAGAAGAGGGAGTGGAACAGCACGTTGGAGCTGTACAGTTTGGTTAATATCACATTCTTCTGAACGCCTTCGGGGTCGTAGAAGCAGGAGAAGCGTTGGTACTTTCTGAAGTTTTCCATCACTACGTTCACCAGCGACATGGATTCCTCATAATTCTTGCCACACTTGGGTATGTATGAACACTGGGAAGAAATTAGAGGGAGAAAAATGTATCTCCAAACCGGGTACAATGTCTGTTTTCAGGTGGCAAGCAGGAAAATCTCAAGATGATTATGCTTTTCATAATAGGAGTGGAATACTATTAAGCTAATAATAAATTTATCAGAGACAAAACTCAATATTTTGCACATCTACAGAATTTCCCATTGGAGAACCTCCAAGTGCTGTACAAACATTAATGCTTTAATCTGCACAGCGGCCTTTTGAGATAGGTGAATATATTATTATTGCTAATTTACACATGCAAAAATGGAACTGATGAAGTACCTCTTCATCTTAAGTGGCATGCATATGCTCACAGTTAGATGAGTAATTGACTCTCTGTAAATACAAATCGGTAGTTTAGATCTCACTTGGATCAGATCAAAGTGATCGTAGCAGGCACAGGAGTTCACTCGCAGAGGAGGAGGCTGACGAGAGACCTTTATACAAACTTTCCTGTGTAATTTGTAATTTTACAAGGGGTAACGCCTCGATTAGGGACAAATAGGAGAAAACACAGTTTTCCTGCTGACAGCCCAGAAGCCTTTCATTCAACCTCTAGCTGAAGATCAGCCTGGCTACCAGGACAGCTCTTAGTCTTTGTTTTGCTCTTGACCCCAGCGTAAGTCCAACACTTCCTTATCTCTGAAGATGCTGCTTGTATTTCAGTCTCAGTCACAATGAAAAGAAGATTTGGGAGTGGCTCTACCTAACACCTTTTCAACCTAGCATTCCCAAAGAATATAAAAGACAAGTTAAATAAAAAACTAACTCATGGAGTCCATGCATTGAAGATATTCCATGGAACATGCAGGACAGTGGCCCTGGGTTGAGATGACCATTCCCTGCAAAGAGCTAGTGTGGGCTGGTGAGGCGTTGAGCAGACACATAAGGATTGAGGCCACATCTGGATTTTGACCTAGAGCATCTGGATTTTGACCTGAATTTGCTGTTGCTGCTGCTGGTCTGGAAGAGGATTGATGGGAGCAGCCCAGGGCCCCGCACTCCCTCCTGTCTTCTAGACACTTACGCCCCTCCACACCTGAAGGTTTTCTACACCTGCACAGGATTTTGATTAAATTCTCTAGCTAGGCAAGAACTGCTTCAGGAGGGGTGGAAATCTGCTGCTTAACTTCTCATTGAATGTGCACAGGGGGACCCAGAAGGTCAGCACTGCCTCGCAGTTACCAGGTGGTCGTGGGTCCCCGTCATGCTCCCTGCCTGCCCAGCTGAACCTGCTTGTCCTGGGTGAGCACCTAAAGTAGCTCCAGATAATTTAATGACAGAAAGTGAGTTTTGCAAAGGAAAAAAGGGGGTTTGATTAAAATAATGTGATCCATGGGTTTTGATTATTATTATTGTTTTAATGTATATACTTTATAAATGTTCCTCCGTTCTTTTTCATGACTATGCTGTGACTTTTTTGTAACATACTGCGACAAATCTCTAGTCCTAATAACGATCAAAGGATTAACCTCGTAACAGGATTTGATTGATTCATTGGCAAGTTTATTAGCACAGAATATGATTTGAAGCGCGGTAGAAAGATTGTCTGGCTCTAGCAGGCTGGAGCATTAAGGGTAGAGCATGGCAGCACTGCCATTATGAATATTTCATAGAGCTCTAGAAATTAGAGATGGAAAATATCAGAGCAGTAATATCTCATCCATTTTCCTGCTGGTGCCAGTCTGCTCCCTCCAGGATATTCCCTTGCACTCTGCCCAGCTTTGTCTTAAATGTCCTAAGCCACAAGCTCTCTTCCAGTGCCTATGACTCTTTAATAGATCATAATCTAGTAAGTAGAGGAAATTTCTCAGCAAAGTGTACCTCATTTTCATTTACTAAGTTATGTGCTATCACTGTTGTAACAGCAGTATTTCCAGCTCAGATTTTTTTTTTTCTTGGATCTTTGGTGCTATACATTTTTGTTTCTTGAAGTATCCTGAGGGAGGAGATTAAATGAGGACTTGGCCACTCTTGCCAAAGTCCAGCCCTTCCCCCTTGACAGAAAACAGCAGGCACATAAAAGCCCTAATGATGACGGATTCCTGGACTCAAAGTCTGAGGAAGGGTCCCAAGAGTGCAGCGGAGGGAGGTCTGACTTCCTTCAAGTCCGACTATTTTCCAAGCATTTCTAGAGGAGACCTGATGCTGAAGCAGAACTTGAGCTGTTGCCTCCTACACCTGATGGCACAGAGCCATGAGCCGTGTCGGGCTGGTTGGGCTGCCCGTGCCAAGAGGGTCTGATAGCATGAAGCTGTGAAATGCAGTTGTGCAAGGGAGGTTGATTTACTTTGCCTCCCAGCCAGGCTCCTTGTGCTGAAACCGTCTCCCATGTGCTCTCCAAGACATGGTTGCCCTTTAGTCCATGTGCTATCTGCCTCATTCCAGTCCTCCTGAGCTCCTGGAGGCATCTTGGCTTCAGCTTTGAGGAGCTCCTCCGCACAAGGACCCTCCGTGTGCATTAAGTCGTGGTTGTGGGGTGCTGCTGGCCTCCTTCCATGCCTCGGCTTCCCCAGCGAGATCCCAGGGATAGCGGAGGGCTGGCTCTGCTGTGCTGGTGTCTGCAATGTTGTATGGGTGAACAAGTAGGTAGACATGGATAATGGGATGTTTTGATGTTTTCTTTTGTTTGATCTTCATTTAGTTTTCTCCAGTGCCTGGCAGGGAATTTTATACCCACAATTGTTATGCTGTACCTGTGAATGTAGACTACTAAATCTATGCTGTTTTATTATAACTCTGCATTGTCAAACACTTCGAAATCTGCAAATCTGAAAGTAAACAATGTCTGGCTCTCTACCTCAAGTGAGGATTCTGTGATACAACGTGAGAAAAGTGGTTCTTGTGTTACTTGCAATCTGATCACAAGAAGAACATACTAGACAGTTACAAAGACAACCGGTTATTACATTTCCAGCTCTACTTTCCTGATTTAAAGGATTGGGTAGGTAGCTTGTATGAACTACCTCTGGACAAGTCCAGTCCAATGCCCTGATCAGTGCAGAATTGCTCAGGAACTTGTCCAGTCAAGTTATGAATATCTCCAAGGATGGAGATCACACAAAATCTCCAGGCAAGCTGGAGGCAGCTTCATTTAAATCGAGGACGTTACATTGAAAACGCTGTTGCCAGAAAAGCCCCCAGTTCAGGCTGGGCAGTGGATATCTCTTTACATCTCTTTTGGAAAGTGCAACAGGTTTGATCCAAGGGCTGAAGGAGAAGCTTTGTGTCTGCTTTGGCCTGATATTGATTCTTGCAGACTGAATTCTCCAGTCTCAGCCCAGAAATGGGTCTGCTGGGAGCTGCAGTGGAACATTGCTGCTCCCCCACTGCAGCAGGCAAACTCCTGCCCGGGTTATAAATACCTGAAGCTTCAGCAGAAACCATGAGATGCCCCATCATTACTGAGTTTCAGGCAGTTATAGCTGGCATAACGGTGATTCTGGTGATTAAATCCTGCTTGTTGTCTCACTTATGGAGCATGGGTATAAATCAGCAGTAGCTCCGATGACATGAAAAGAATCAAAATGATATAGTATAAGATCGAAATGGGGCCTCTAGAATTGCTTTAACTACTGCAGCCCTTCCTCAGGGTGACAGCCTGGCTCCGTGGTCCAGGCACGAGGGGATGCTGGCCAATTTACCTCTCACAGACGCTGTTACAGCTTCCTCTGACAGCTGAGGGCGGAAAGCGTAGCCATGAAGCATTTAAGCTGCTATGGTTGTAGTATTGACAAGGGGCTGGGCTTGTCCTAAAGGCTAGAGATAAAGTATGCACAGTGAGAGCAATGAAAAGCCGTGAAAAATCTCGTGTGCTTTCCTGGGAAAGACTCGAGCAGCTCGACTGGTATCGACTTACTTCCCACTGATTCCCACAGGAGACTGGCAGCAGCACACCGTAGATGTCAATATAAATTGCACCTACTGCTTACTGCACCTCGTGGGCCGACAGTCAGGTTAGACAGCAAGTCTCCTAGATTAATCATTATTTAAAATCAAAGTGCATTTTGCTCCATCCGCGCTAGCTGGCGGGGAGAGGGGAGAGACGGGCTCCAGATGCTGCTCTGCGTGCGCAGTGGTGCTCAGCGAGGCAGGGAGGTTGGGGGGGGGATGCAGACCTTTTGAAGGTCACTGGCGTTGGCCTCGGAGGGTAAGCATCACGTTCTGCAATGACCCCAGTAATGTCAGGGCTCAGTGAGCCAGGGACGGCTTTTTTTCTTTTGTTTATTTGGCAAGGAGAAAGGTAGGAAACGCAGACCTGAGTAGGTGGATGGAGAGAGACAGCACCCAGCTGGAGCATCACAAACTCAGCCGTGCTCAGGGCTGCTCCCTCGGGGACAGGGAGCGCCTGTCCGGGGACCTGGGGTGGGTTGTGCTGATCCCAGCTTGGGGTCTCTGCTGGTCCTCACCAGGCACAAGAAGCCAGGTATTTTATAGGCATCGCAAACTTCTGTTCAAAACTGTGTTTGGATTCAGGTCACATAGCCAGCAGCATGTCAGGAAAACCTAGGAATCCTCCCGAGAGCAGAGCTTAACCTGTAAAACAACCTTGGCCTGGAGAAGTATTAACTATGCCTACATTAAATTAAGAGGAGGCGGCATCTGGGAGAATTTCAAAGTCCATTTCAGCAAGCAAAAATCATCAATAATGGAATGTGGAGATTTATGCTGAATCTCTTGATTTATTTGAATCCAGTGGAGCACAGAGACCGATCTGATCTGTCTTAATCAAATTGCGGCATGACTTTCACTGGGTTTTGCTTCTGCCCCAGCAGAAAGTGGAGTCTGTCCTGCTGCAGACTTCATGAACGGCGAGTGCCTCCTTTCTGCACCGACGCCGAACCGGAGGGGAAGATGCGGGCACTCTTCTCCGTTTCACACTCCAGATCCAGAGGACTTCGTCTCTCAGCCACAGGAGCTAATTATCCAGCAGAATAACCGGCCCGGTGCAACCACGCCATGCTTTGACTAATTTTAATATCGCTTCATCTTAATATGCAGAAGTAATTTGGTCTACTGAACTGCTGCCATAAATAGAAACACAATAGGTTACGTTGTCAGCTGCCTGAACCGGGCCTCTGCTGTTACGGGCTGCGCTTTGCCAAGCGCCCATAGTTTGGGGTTCAGTGACCTTGGATAACTAAGCAGCTAATGCAAATCCGGCACTTGTAAGTCTAATGATTTAGCTGCATCCCGGCTCACTACGGCTTGCAGTCTGAGGTACCCGGGCACTGTAGATACGAAGAAAGGCAGGTGGGGAGAGGGACGTTTCTTAGTCCAGTCCTGCCTTGCTACGTGGAGGGAGCAAAGAGCGACCTGCGCCGAGGCGGTCGCTTGCCCAGGTGTGATGCACAGCGCTGCGTTGCTGGCGGGGAGATGCCTTCTGTGCATCCGCTGCGTTCATTAAAGCCTCCAGACGGGACCTGTTTCCATCCCACCTGGATGGAGTTATGCTGGATTTTGTACTCACTGAAGCAGAGAGAGGAATTCTTCTGCAGATTTGTTAAAAATCTTTTTTTTGGTTCAATGTGTGGAATGAGGGAAGTTGTGCAAGAAAGATGGGCTGACTCCTTAGCTTATAGGTGCCCAAACCCCAGGCCTTTTATTTTTATGCTTCTGCCTTTATCTTGACAGTCCCTGCGCAGCGAACTTTCAGCATCTTTGCACCATCCACAGGGGTAAGTGCTGTGCCTTGACCCCCGCGGCACAGCTGACCTCCGTGGAGATGCTCGGGGCGCGGAGTTTGTCACCAGCGGTCGAGATGGGGACATGCCTGCTGTTAGACACGGGGCTCTCGTCTCTCCCCGTCACCTTGCCTGCCCTCACAGTAGTAAAGCCATTTCTATTCTCACCACCGCTGCTGCCCCGTGCACATCGCTAGGGGTGTTCGCTCTCATGCAGAGCCATACCCGGGTGGGAAGTGACTTGTCCACAGCTGCACAAGAATATCAATGTGACAAGTGCTCAGCGCTAGCCTGTAAAGCTGTGCCTGTAAAGCACTTGCAAAGGAGGAGGGAGGCTCCAGCCGCCGGGGACACCAGCCCGAGTAGGACGAGCTGCGCTCCCTGCATGGGATGGGGGTGGAAAACTGCCCCCTTCAGAGGTGTGAGCTCAGTTCATGCACTGATTTCTGCTTTCTCTGCTCCATACTTACCAGTGAAGCAGGAGCTGGAAGCCTTATATTACTTTAAAGCGAAGAATGGCTATAACAAGGTGAGTAACCCTCCAGAAACCCATTTAGGAAGAAATTTGATTCTGTGCTCCTACCTCAGAATTAATTTTCATTGTTTCCTCGGTGTGGTAGAGCAGAAGCTTCTGGCCAGAAGAGGTAAGATTAACGTACACCTGGAGGCAGGGGTACTGAGAGATTTTCCAGCAGTCTGGACCACAGCTAAATGAGCAGTTGAAAGTTTCTGTGATGGATGCATTGAGAAGCGAGCACTGAGCCTCTTCTGTCCAGACGCTGAGTAGGGGAAAAAAGAGACATAAGAGCATGGTGAGAATGGGCAATAAGCACTAAATGCAGCTCAGGCTTTCCATCCGCGATATACTGGGGGCATCTTGTAGGAGATGGCACACATTGCAGGGCTTTGAGCAAAGACCGGACTTTCTCGCATCACACATCGCAGACCATGTATTGTTCTGTAGTACCCAAAGTTTGTGCTTTGGGCACAAAAATACCTGTTTCACTTATCTCTATGTATAAATGAAAAGGAAAATGGAACTTTTAGTCTGGAGAAGGTATATTTGAAACCAAAGGGAGTCAGCAGAGATATCAGAGAAGAAAACTGAGCAGCTTGCACAACGCATGCAGTGCTGCATGACAGGACACCCTGGACCAAGACTTGACGGTTAATCACCAAGTCCAGTTCAATTTAGAGTCAAGGCTGGCAGGACAACTTTGAATTACCAGGGTACATATATTCATATTCATGAAGGGACAGCAACTCACAAGTGGTACCGCATGCAAGTCTACCTGTGGAAAGGCTTTTTCTAGTGGCAGCTTGCTCGGTTTTCTGTAAGTTAAGTCAGCGGTTGTAATCATTCTGGAGGATTTCAGCTTGTCTCCAATTCACCAGAGGCTAAAACTGGAACGATGGAGCCTGGGTGTGCACTGGCAATGTTCACTTGGGTTTCTCGCGTATATTTAAAAATCTACGGCTGTATTTTCCTTAGGGACGAGAGCAGTGGGAAGGGGACACTGAGGACTCTGTGAAAATCCCTCCACAGGCTGGGGGAAGGTTTCACCCCAGAGCTCCCCTTTAGCCCCGCTCAGCCCCTCGGCTCACACCCAGCGTGGCCGTCCTGCCGCTCGCCGTGAGTGGGCTGAGGGTCTGCTTGCCCCTTGCCAAACCTGCAAAAGGCTTTACACAGTAAGTGATATCAAAGATTTCTGACTAATTCTCTTGGTATTTTACTTTGGCAGTAATTCTGCTTGTATATTCCATTTTATATTTATATTAAATTATGCTATGATTTCTGGGGGGAAATCAAGTGAAAGGATTTTTTCCCCCCTCTCCCAGGCAGTATTTTGTTGGAGGGTTATTGCTGTCTGTAAAGGAGAACAACCTCTAAGGAGATCTGGCTGTGCGAAGAGAAGTGACAGCGAAGACTCCTGGGTTGTCTTCTTCTCACTTTCACCTTTCTGACTGCTGTTTTATTCATGCAGGGGGGTAATAAAGTAACACCTACCTACAACAGACTTGTGAAGATGGAATATTTGATACTTTGTAGGTGCTTTGATATCTTCTGGCAATTTTTCACACAGTTTGTAATGTAAATCCTCTCTTTCCACATGAGCAATTTTGACCTTAGCAGCCTCTGCAATTGACCCTGATATTGCTGAAAGGTCTGGGAGAGCAATTTGGAAAAGCAAATGCTCTTGGATACTTAACAGGTCTTGATCTCTGTTTTCAAAATCTAAACTTTGCCTGGATTTAAAAAGGGACAAATGCCTTTATGGCACAAATAAGATGCTGCAAATCAGTACAGTTCATCCTCAGACACTGCTACTTTTTCAATATCATTGCAGAGTCAAGAAGGAATATTTTCCTGCAGGTGCATCAATATAATTGAGGATGTTCATACCGGTTTGTACATGCCTAAAGAAGAAGCCTGTGGTGGATAAGCCAAAAATGTGCCAGGTATTGGCCGCTGCCCCAGGGTGGTTTTGGGCATGACAGACTAATGTTTTGATCCCCAATTACACATTTTTCATTCTCCTAACTCCACTGATCAGGGCAGAAAAAACATTGCTGACAGTCTTATTACAGTCTGGGCTGGATTTTATACAGGGCTAGTACTTGAAAACTGATTTCAAATGCTGCTAATGAATCACAGGCCAAACTTTCTGCTCTGTGGCAGAGAAGGAAGTCAGAGAAGGCCTCAGAAAAATTAAGCACAGTGCAGTAATGATGAAAGATGATCTTTCACTTTCAGCAAATTACTGTATTTCAGGAGGATTTCACTTGTTAAAATGAAAGTAATAACCTACACGGAAAACTACAGGCTGCAAAGCAGCTTGATTTCTTTCCCGAATTAATTCTCTGTTCTTCATTTGAAAGTGCATTGTTTCTTGAGTCTGCTAGATGTTTTTGCTGTTTTCTCCTGAGTTTGGACTTTGCAGCAGCAGCCCGTGAGGGGCTTACAGGGTTCAGCAGACTGCCAACCAGCTGATATGGATATTACACTGGTGTTAAACTGTGGCAAGTCTAAAGATCAAGATTTTGTCAAACAGGGATCTAATTCTTCCCTCACTTATGCCAGTGTTACTCAACTTGCTTTCACTGTAGTTATGCCTGATTTATACTGGGGTAAGGAAGTGCAGAATCAGACCTATGTTGACCAAAGGAAAAATTGTAAAACTTTAATCAAAAGCGTCAAACGAATAAGCCATGTGAAGACAGTGAAGCAGAGAGTGTGAGATCAGGGTAACCATCATGAAATTACCTTTGCATGTAAGACCGCAGCAGGGTGATTCCCAGGAGAAAGTACATCATGATAGAGCACACCATCATGGCCAGCCCGAGGAGTATGGCCCGGTCTTCTCCGGCTTTTAGGGCTGTGACTGTTTTCCTTTTGTCCAGTAGATCGTGATCCCTGATTTTTTGGTAAATATTTCTGAGGTTGAAAATAATACATTCTTATGTGAAATTCATATTTAAGCAATGAAGCCTCTACAGGGTGGGTAGTTCCACCTCCATACCCATCTCATGGGAGAGAAAGGCTTAAGGGTCCTCAGGTGTCCTTTTTCATCGGATTCACTCTGACCTGGTGGAAACTTATTCATCTCCAAAATAAATTCCAGCCATTTTTGAAAAGGTAAAAACCTCTTACAGCAAATATAAAGATTAGACTCTTGTGCCAGCTCAGTAAATCCTTCTTTGGTACAGCTTAATTGGTTCAGTTGAATTATACCGTAGGTGAATTTGACCTGTCAATGCCACCTTAGGCCAACAGAAGATGTTTAGGTATATGAGGTGTCTTTTCTTCAGTTGAATATGGTAACAGGTCTTGTGTTACCATATGTAGAAAATAGCCTGAAGAAAGCTGTCACTAAAATTATCTGAAAGGACCACGTTCTTTTTTTGATTCCCTACAGGCTAGTGGTTTGGGTAATTTTCCGCCCCAAGTGTGACTCAAAGCTTGTGAAACACTGTGGGGATTTTGCAATTGATTTCTGTAGGTTTTTTGATTGGGAGCTTATTTACTTTATTTATAAAATAGCTTTCTGGAAGCCCAGTTACTCATTACAGTGAAAACCCTCACAGAAAATTATCCACCAGAGCTATTTGTTCTGGGATTAAAAAAAAAAGAAGCTACAACAAACCATTCCCCCTTCAGCAGAGAGTCCTTTGCATTTTCTAACCATAAGTCCTTCTTTCATCTCCGAGCCTTTGATGATTCAATGGGTCATGAGGACACAATGGTGAAGAAGGAAATATTTGAGTACATTTCAAACACACTCAAACTTTGTGGGTTTAAAATGTACTTACAGACCTGAGGCTGGTCAAAATCTCCTGTGTTTTCTGTTACGGTTCTTTTGAATCATCCAGGCAGCACCCGAAGCATGTGAACCGCACACTTCTGAGCCCTGGCACCACCATAACATGGACATAGCAGTACACGTGGAAGAAGTTCCTCTTCTACTGTCTGCAAAATGGCAGGTGAGCAACATCAACATCACTTTGGGCTCTAGCAAACCCACCACTCATTTAAGCTGAAACCACCAAGTTTCACTCAACCTTGGAAAAAAGCACTGTGTCAGACCAACCATATAACTTACATTCATTAATAGGGACAAAGAAATAGAGTTAAGACAGATGTAAAATCATACATAAACACAGTAGAAACAAGAAAATAGGTTTAATCATAAACTCCCCAAAACTGGAATTAAATTTGTATTCAGATGATGAGTCATAGTCAGGAAAAGCACATATGGTGTGGGGTTTTATAGCAAAAATCTTGCTTAGGTGGTACTGCAGTCAATAGTCTCCCATACCTAAGACCCCTTGAGGTTTCTTCATCCAACTGTAATTTACATCTTTAGATGTCCATGGTTTCTCTTCAAAACCATCCTTTAAGTCTTGTCAATGTTTTCCTAGTTGGAAATGAAATGGTAATTCAGCCTGTCAAAATTTTCTCTGATGTTGGGGAGAAAAAATATATTGTCAACTGGCAGATGCAATTGCCTTCAAAGAAGTAATGTAGAGTAATAATCTAATGTTACTTTTCTATTATTATTTATCAAACTGTATTTAACTCTGAGAGCTGCTATTAGGATTTGCATTGCTCCCAAATGGAAGCAGGCAGGAAGGCAGAGATTGTCATGCAGTTCCAGCACATTAACTGATCACACAGCATAACTTATGTCAGCGTGTAGACATAAAACAGACGCAGTGCAATGACTCACTAATGTCATCAGAGCACCTAGGACATAAAAGGGATACAAATGGACAATTTAAAAACAAATAGCTAATTGAGAATGGTTACAAATACTTCCCATGTGGCCTTGAGCCAAGAAACGTGCAATGAGAGGTAAAAAAAAAAGGACGGACTGAAGGGTATGTTGTAGAAATGATCTATCTGGCAGGTGACTGGCAAAGGGGACGGTGTATGGTGACTGCTTGCCAGGCGGATCTCCCACACTTGCCTGCCATCGCAAATAAAGCTAAATGAAACTCTGCCTCAGGGGGCACGCTCGGAGCAGTTGTTCGGTTGCTCTTTTGCAAATATTTATTATTCAAAGCCCTGAACAACAGGAAAGTGGTAGCCTTGTGCACCTTACTGAGGACTTTTTTCTCCTGAACCCCTCCAGGAGTCAGTCTGGTAACACAGGCATGGCACGTGCCAGCGTGTGACGCACCGGTCCTGACGCAGCCCGGGAGACGCTGAGTAACCATCCATCCTCCTCCTCCTCCTCCTCCCCACTCCTGCCTGCACCGGGGAGGTGCCCATTTTCTCTGTATGATACTGGGAACATCTGCTATCACCAGACCTCACATTTTTGCCCCCGAGAGCCCTGTTTTGGGGGCCACGATAAGTTGCACACAATATTTTGCCACTAACAGAGCAGCCTCAGCATGTCTTTAGCTGGAGCGGCAGCAGTGGCCTGCACGCGTGCGTGTGCTGCTCCGTGGCGGCGGTTTTGTGTACGTGTGAACTTTTGGCACAGCCTGGGGACCTCTTTCTGCTTGGTGAGCTGGAAGAGTGCCGTGCTTAGCTGGCTGATTTTGGATCCCTGGGCTGCACAGCCACAATTAGCTGACTGCTGCGGTGTGTATAAGTACAGATCACTGCATACCAGACACTAGGTCACCTAGATGATTCTCTCTAATACTTGTGATTACCTGTGATAACTTCCCAAATAAGACACCGAGGGGGGCTGTTTGTTTTTAAAGAAGTCCCAGCTGTCAGAACATGGTGTCTTTCTGCCCTGTGCAAAGACATTTAATAGAAAGCAAGCCTCCAAGGACTAAAGGTCTTTGCTCCCTTGATCATTTCCAGACTGAAGTTCTCCTCTGCTAAATCTCCACGTTTCTTTTGCCAAATTGCTCAGAGGACACGGGCTGGCTGCTCTACCCAGGCTCAGCTGCCAGAGAGGAAATCTCGGCCATGACTGTGCCTGCTGGGGACAGAGCAGAGATTTCCCTCTCCGTATCTCTGTGCACAGCAGCAGCACGGGGATCCCTCTGCAATGTGGTCAGCAGCTCCTTACAGATCTCCAGAGAAAGGTTTATGGAGGACCTGTGTGATGAAATTAGGCAGCCCAGGTTATGTTAGCCTGAACATGAGATGGCCAAGGAGAGTTACAATGCTGGTCTGAGCCTACTGGCCTTAATAAACAAGTCCTACATCTTCTGTAGAGTTGCCCGTATTTGCTGCAGCCAAGACCTTTATTTGCCATCATGAGGTACGTGACCTTTTAGCACTCTCTTATGTGAAGGACGAGACATATCAACTTGCTCTGTGCTCTGTTGGCACAGGACTGATCTGCAGCTCCAGGGATGTGATTAGTTTATTGGCATGTGTTAGGAATGGTCCTGTATGCAAAGAGTTTGCAACTGGGCACTGCCATATAGAGCAGGAGAGGCTAAGGTAATGCTGCTTCTGACCCAGTACAACAGTTCTTATTTCACTCCAAAATGGGTAGATCTAGGAGGTCTGCAAAGAGGATCAGGTTTCCTCACTGGAAATCTAGAATAACCAGGCACCTGTAATTATTTATTTTTTTTTTTAATAAACACAAATTAGCTACCCTCAGATTCCTTCCTTTCCAAATGGACCATCATGTGCTGCTGAGGGAGACGTTGCCTCCTCCAGCACTGCACAGTCACGGGGCTTGTCAGATGGGGATACCTGCCTGCCCGAATTATTCAGAGTGACTTTGAATTCACATTCCTGTCTCTGATAGCACAGCTGTTATGCAGATGTCACTCAAATTACCTCATGTTGAGGTGTTTACTGATATCAGAAATCCTTCAATGCAAGGGTGAAAAAGCCCTCCTGTATCTTACCTGCAGAATTCCCAATGCTCAGGGACTTTTCTGCTTAGAAGCCAATTTCTTTACTTTTTTTTTTTTTTTTAACAGGGTATATTTAGCTGCATCAGTTTTTGTTATTACAGCTATGGCAACAGGAAATCTCATTGGAGCTCTCTCAGTGATGGTTGTAGGATGCCTGTCGATACGAACAGATTTTATTCACTCAATTCCTTCCCTCTTCCCCACCAAACTGGACCAAACGAAACCAGTGTTTTGATTTTCCAAGCTTACAATGGTGTGGGAAGCCTAACTGACACCTGAGAAAGAATGAGGGCTTGGCTAGGTTTTCGAAGCATAAAAAGTGGCCGTTGGGGAACAGTGGGTGTCTAAAACAGCAATGAAATACATACATTTTGGGCCTGATCCTGCAAAAAGGGATGCCTGAGAGATACCTTCCACCCGGGAGGAGGTGATTCCTCCACAGCAAGTGACCCATTGCTGCACAGGTTATTATTACAGTGCAATTCCTCAAAAGTCTGTGGATGTAGCATGTGTTAGGTGACAAATTTGCAGTTCCACGTGACAATCTTCCTGTCTGAAGTTTAAAGAACAAAAATTCCTAAGAAAGGGTCATTTAGGGGAAGTCATTTCTCTAAAACGCACCACCTGTTTGATACCGTGATGCTGCTGGTGATCTTACACGTGTTAAAATCACTGCCAGAGGCTGGCGGATGAGTTTCTCCCACTAGCAACACTTGCTCTGTGTTCACACCTCTCTTCTGCAGTCCTGAGGCTCCAGTCAGCACTCCCCTATTTCCATTTTCTCTTCCTCCCTTTCCCTCCTGCATTTTATTAATCACCCACAGGGTATGAAAAATTCCTTCTGTATGGCTCTACAGGGCCACCTGGGAAATAAAACCACCCAACGCTTGAAAAGGCACCTGAAATTACCATGGCTGGTGTGTAAGTATAGAAATACTGCTTCCTACCTCCCTATTTCTGCAGGCAGGCAGGGGTGAGCTCTGCCCGGGGTTTAAGCCGACTAGACACCGGTGAACCCTGCTTAGCACAGTGCTCAGCCCAAGTTAGTAAGTCCCACTGAAAGGCATGGTGTGAGTTGGAGGCCGTGCTAATCAGGAGCACATGGCTTTCAGCCAGCCCAATGTGTGGGCAGATATCTCCTCCAAGTGTCTAACCTTGGACCATCCTGTCCATGACAGTGTTTTAACGCAGAAGAACATTGGCCTGGGGAAAATTCACTTAAAGAGGAGACTTGCAGACGTACATGAGGCAGTTAGTTAGATAACCAGCTCCAACCGAAAGTCCATGGAAACCTGTTGCCAAGCTGGCCTTTGTGGCTTCAAAATGTCTGTTTGGGACTGAATTATCAAAAGAGCTGAAAACCTATGCAGCCTTTGCAGAAAATTTCAGCAAATGGGCCAATTCTCCAAGGAAACTTGGTGTCCTGAGGGCAGCTCTGCTGCCTGAACTCATGAGTGCATTTTCCCAAGCAGATGCCGGCAGTAATGTCTCATTAGAATAACCGAAGGCTGTGTTTTGCTAATTGGCACTGTAGATACATTGACCTCTGTTTTAGTTTCACCGGAGTCTGATTTTTTGTGATTACATTTAATGGTGACTGCAAGAAGAACTGAAGGAGAGGAGGCAAGGAGGGAAGGGGGAAAGGAAAGGGAAGAAAAGAAAGGGAAATGTGTCCGGTTGTGACAAGACAAGCTCTCCAGCAAATATCACTACAAAGGAGAGAGATTTTGGAAGGGTGAGTCTGAGCATTACTGACAATCGTTCTTTCATCAGTGATATTTAACTTCTTTCGTTCCCAACTGAGTGCTGCCTTTGTCTGCAGAAATAAAACCTCTCCTTCCCTTTCCTTCTCTTCTGCGTAATTCCCTGCTCCCCTGGGAGATCCAGTAACTCATTTATTCCTCTGTCTCCTTCAGTGTATTCCCTCCAGCAACGCTACTTAAGTGGGCTGGTGTGCTACCAGCTCACTTTCAAGCCACTCGTCATCCCCCAGCTATTCTGCAGTGTATTGCGCACACGCTCCTGCTCACACACTATGCATAGAAACGTCTCTGACAGCTGGATGCATCACCCAAATGTGTAGAAGTTAGGTAGGGCAATGATCTGGCGGGGAGAGAGGAGGCAGTGTGTGTGTGTTGTCTGGAGAGGGGTACGGGAGTGGTGTGGGCCGATGGCTGGAAGCAGGAGACCTGCAAAAGGCATAAAGGCTTCACAGGGGTTGGAGCCAGGGCTGAAAACCTGTGGCTGGGGATTAGCGTGCTTTTAAATGTGCGGTGTGTGCGTGCTGACCTCAGAGATGGTCATGGTGTGCTGCTGGTGTCCTGGGAACAAGGAAGACTTTGGCCATGGCTCTGGCGTTGTCCCTCCACTCTGTTCTGGTTTGGCATGGCAAGCCTGGCACTCATCGGCTGGTAGGTGGAACAGTAGCTGGGGTTGGGGGGTGGTGGTGAGAGGCAAGGGACGGACACCCTTTGCAGCCCTCCTTACTTCTCTAGTGCTGCCACGGAAGAGAACCTACAGGCCACGCTCCTAAAGATTCAAACCCATAAGAGACAATCAGCATAGATGCCGTTTACCTTTTCTCATCATGTCTGTAAGATGTAGAGCTCCGGCCACTGGTCCAAATAAACATTTTAGAGGGTTGCCCAGTGTTGGCTTTGCTCGCTGCAGTGGGACGATGGAAGGACCTGGGGGAAGAGGGATATTTTTTGTCACTGCCCATCCAACGTGGCAGACCACATTATATCCAGAGTGCCAAATCCCCTGCGGCCGTGCCCAGTATGCTCTGAAGATGGACCATTTGTTAACTCAAGGTGAGATGTAAAATAATGGGGATGACAGATCAGCGTGTGGGAATGAAGGATAAATCTCATTAGCCCCACTGGTAAAATGTGATCCTGGCTAATCAGGCTTAGCTATGCTCCACACCGCAAAGGACTTGCACCATGGACAAGCAATCATCAGTAGTTTAAGAAAAGGTAATAGCTGCATCCAATGTTCTTATGGCAGCATTTTTGGGGGACAAAGTGGCTATTGTTTAAGCACATGCACGCTCATCACAGGTTTTTGGTTGTACTGCAGCTCTCACTAAGGTGATGCTCTCAAGGAAGGTGTCTGAATGAGGCAAAAGTATGATTCGTAAATGCAGCATTTTGTGGAAATGTAACTGATGTGACAAAGATGTCTTTTCCCACAGAGAAATTACTGTCCCAAGGCCATTTGGCCAGACCAGTTAGATTCCTGCCCAGGGGCTGCTTTGTTTCACAGCGGGATATGAGACCTGCTGCCTTCTCTCAGGCCCTCAGGGTCTTCTGAAGAGGGGAAGAGTCTGAGGGGTTTCATTTTAAGGACTGAATCTGAACCCTGTACTTCAATGAGATCTCATAGAATCAGAAATATGGAGTTGAAAGGATCTCAAGAATTGTTGCTGCTCTCTTACCCTGATTCAAGGCACATTCACTATATCTGTCATTCCTAGCAGATTTTGGTTACCCTAGATCAACTGAACGTGAACAACCATCTTTCCAGCTGGTAACTTCATTGCCAGGCTGGCAGCATAGGCTATATTGGACCTGCTAGTGGGGCTACAGCTCCCCTCATAGCTCCTCCTAATCTGCTCCTGTTTTAGTGAGGCTCAGTTAAAATCTCAATCTCTGAGAACGGGACCCTTCCTGGTGAGGGCTGGATTTTGCAATATTTCGTGGCACAGCACTTTGTGCTTTTACTCCATTTAGAGAAAAGCTTAAGAAAAAAAAGAAATGTTCCAGATACCAAATACTTTAATGCTGAAGTTTTTCATACACTAGGGGCCATTCTTTAGCTCACTGAAAAATAAACTGGCTGTTGATGCTGTCAGCAGAGAAGGCACATGAATTCCTCAGCGCTCCTTGTCTGAAAAAGTCTGTAATGTCACTATCTACATAATCATGCAAAGGGCTAATTTCAATATTTGCATAGTGGCGAACCTGGGAGAATACTTAAATCCTGTAGAGGTGGCTGCAGGGGAAGACTGACATGGATGGGAGCCAAAATCCATCCGTATGCAGGCAGGCTGATGGGTGCCAAGGGACTGGGTTCTCCATCTGGAGTCAGCCCAGAGCCCTACCACTGGGTCCATGACACAGACCCAGGGCAAACTCGCACCCCAGTTGGGCAGCTGGCTGGCAAACTGGCCAAACTGGTGACCCCGTCACCTCCTCCCTGCTGGAATCCTGCTGCCATGCTCAGAGATGCTGGCTCGGGACTGGGACTTGCAGGCAGGGACCTTGCTTGAAATAAGAGATGGTAATAGTTGATGAAGCTTTTGCGCTGCATTCATGCACAGCAAATTGGACGAGGCAGCGGTCCAAAAGAAGGGAGGCAGAAGAAGGGGAATCTCCCCTAGCCCTTTCCCTGACCCTGTGGTCATCACTGCAGCTCTGAGAGAAAAAAAAGACTCTTTTCTTTCCTTACAACCACTGTAGTTAAGTATTGGGGAATAAACAATAAGATGAGGTACTTCCTCCCTGAAATAACTATAGTTTAGAAGGTGGAATAGCCAGGAACTAATCAATATAACCACCGACTAGGAAGTGTTTTTATAGTGATACTGGCCAGAAATTTGGGTTACAGGACCTTGGATCTAATCCTCACTCTGGTATTTAAGATTGCATCCACACTACCTCAGACAGCACAACAGCGACCACCAAACCTGTACCGAACGAGCTGGTGTTTCTGCATCGAGCAATGCAGGAGGGCTCAGAGCAACTATACAAGGGCCTGGAGGCCACATTGGATATTGGGCTGAGACCAGTCCCAGGCTGAGACTCTTAATGTTGGAAAATAAAATTATATAATTGCCACTGCACCCTTTAGGATGTCACACATGAGCTGCACGACAGGAAAGCCTGGCTGGCTGTGCTGCCACAGCCTGAGTGGTCCCAGAGCCGTCAGGAGATGGTGGTGAATGCTATTAGAGAGTCTGTTCTTAATTAAGCAAAACTTGGGCACACGTTAGAGGTGATCAGCAGCTTCTGCTGCCTGTCTGAGTCTACAGGGACAGCTGGGCAGGACTGCCTGGGCAGGGAGGCAGATTTGCAAGCTCCAGAACAAATTGTAGGAGCACCGCTGGGGCAAGAGCTGGGCGAGAGGTGTCTGTCCCACCAAAGGGATGCCAGAGGAGGAAAAGGGCTGTCTCTCTTCCCACCAAAGTCAGAGTGATTTCAGACTCCCTTATAGTGCCAGTGCCCTGGAGCAGTCCATATGTGACAGCATTAATGCTGTCTGCTTCATTAGTTGGGCGATCCAAGCTAACCATCACTATTTAACACACAATTGCACACCTAATTTTGTGTAAAATTGTAACACTGATGACATCACAGCAGCCACTCCAGAGGTCAGATGTAAGCAACTGAAGTCCATGGTTCCTTTTGGCGGGGGTTAGCGGTAAGGTAGGAGCCTTTTGTGGAACAGTAACAATACAAACTCCCCAAGACCCTCCTTTGAAGGCCTTTGGAGGACTCATAACCTAGGACGGTTACGACTTACACGACCATGTTCTGCCCCACCAGGACAGTTAGCAAACTTCCATGCCTTTCTCCTCCCCTGAGTTAATCCCAAGGCAGGACTGTGAACCCCATTCCTTCCCTGTCCCCTCTCTCTTTTCTGAGAAAACAAGTAGCACTACATTTCTTTTGCCCATTGCCTCTCTGAGTCAGCTGCTGGCAACATATTTTTATCATGCAACAAGTAATCAGCCTGTGAAACTCATTATTGCAGGATGTCAGCCTAGCATTTAGAGTAAAAGTGGATGGTGCTATTGCTTGAACAGATGGAGCACCTAAAGTCATGACAATACCTGCTAAAAACAGTTTAGAAGAGGTACTTCAAGCTGCTTTTTGACTATCAGGAGTCTGTAGGGGATATTCCTATAGGGCAGGTTACCAGGAAACTGCTGTACTTGATGTGACTTTTGCTAGACTCAGGATGCTGTGTTGGACTCCGGGCTTTCTGCTCGAGTTTGCCTGAACATTGCTGTCTCCTTCATTATTTACCCGGTGTGGCATCAACACAGTTGTCTCTTGGCACAGTTGCCACAGGCACAGGCAAGGAGCCCAAGCTTCGTTTTTTACAAAACATGCCTTGTTCTTCACATTTGGGTCTATTCTGAATAAATGCATAATGTTTAAGACAGAAACGCAGAGTAAAAAGTGTGCAATCTCCTATGAATACATGTAAGCCTGTGCCTAGGGCCCTTTACTGCTCTGCGCTGGCCAAGGAGCAGCTGTAAAGGTCCACGATGCTGACACAGTGTGTCTGCCCCGCTCCTCCCATCTTCCCCTGTTCTCATCCTCCTCTTGAACGTTATCTTCTGGTGAATTTTATGGAACTCAGAAGAAAACCTGACAAGGTTTCAACTTTTTCAGCCATTGCAAGATGAAGACTTGAGATAGTTCTTACAAGATTAGAACTACTCTGCCCCGTCCTAAGGAGTGTCAACATGTCCATGCAACAGCAACCACCTGAAAGAGGACTGCAGTGTGAAGAAAACATTTGGGGGGGCAACATTTGCTTCAAATTGCTCCAAAAAAGATGTAATTCTGAGGGTGAATCTCAAAATCCTTTAGCTGGTACCTTGGGAACTACATTACGTGCTCTGTTGTCTTCACTTTCACCCTGGGCTGGCTGCTTTCCTTCCTCAGGCTTCGGTTTATGCCATGATTGGTATGAAATGTTCCTTACCTCTACGTCACCACATCTGTGAACAGCCAAAGAGGAATACTGCAGACCATGGTTTTAGATGGAAAGCTGGGGTTTACATGTGTGTTTATCTGTAATTGCCTCTGTCTATGTTTATGTTAATCATAGGGTTTCTGAGACCTTGGAGAACCATTTATGGCACCAAACTAATGAGCTTTGCTCCCCTTACGGCATTTCATTTCCTGGGCAATGTGGCCACTGTAAAAAGAGAAGCACCTGCATTAATTTTGCCTCATAAAAGACACCCTGAGTCATCAAAAGCCAACAAAAGCTAAACATTCACCTAAACATATAATCACCGACCTCTTAGGCTTTGTCTGAATACACCCATGTCCTGCACTGTCCACGCTGCCAAGTGCTCTGGATGCTTCCTCCCCATATTTCCCAGCCAGAGGATTCATTTGATCCCTGTGAGCCCTGAAGTTTTCCTGCTAGTCCACACGTTAACCTCTCCCTGTGCCACAACGTGGCGGTCAGTGCCAGTTCTTGGGCAGACAGGGAGGCTGCTGTTGAGTGATGGGAGATATCTGGTCTCTCCCATGGCTGGAGAGACGTTTCTGGGGGGGGTCCCACCCACCAACGCCCATGGGAAAAGGAAGAGGTTAGAACCAGGCATCAAAGGCAACCTGCAAGGGGACGGTGGTTCACTCTGAGGTGAATTTACTGAATATGGACAGTTAGACTTTATGCCCCAATAGGTCTTACCCACACCTATGTCTGACCATACTATGTTTTCCTATGGCTTTTCTGAGTCAGAAAAAAGGGAGAAGTGTTGTGTGGTGAAGGACGGGAGAATAAATAAAATGGCCTGTTGAATTTCTGATGTAAAGTGTAGCCTGACTGCTGGGTAGTCTGGCATTCAGGTGCAGTAGTGCATGGAAGAGTTTCCCAGGCAGTGTGGTGGAGGTAACTACTGTATTAAAATGCTCCTGTCTGATTCAGGAGATGA